TTAGTATTCTTGGAACACCAAGGCCATTAAAAAAAAAAAAAGCAAGAGGGAGAGGAGGAGGAGGGAAGGGGCAACCTCAGGACCAGCACACGGCTGTTCTACCGCCATCTTGATGTCCTTGAGGCGTGCAGATGGTGTGGAAGTAGCTGGCACCAGAACAGCCCATGAGAAGGAACGAGCGGCCAATGGAGATTTATGTGAGGAGAGTGAGATGGACAAGGTAAAATTGTCAGGAGGAGTTGTTAGAAAGTAAAATATATTGTGACAATTCCACTCCTGCCGTTCATCAATAAACTGACAGATCATTTAGTGTCAATTAGGAGTGATAGATGGACAAGTCCCCATGATCCTGGGCCAAAATTAATGTCTGGGAGGGAGAGGGTGATTGAAAATGACGGCTGACATTGAGAGCAAAGTCCTGAAAGTCCCTGAGGGGGCATTACTTGCCTCATTCCCTTGCAGATCAATGCAGGGACAAACCCAAAAACAGACACTTTGAGACAAAACTTAATCAGACTACCTTTCCTTCCTCTCTTTACCAAGTCTGGTTGCCTCTCTTTTAGCTCCTTTCCCCATGGCCAAGTCAGTGCCCCACTTTAGGCAACTTCAGAGCCAACGAAAGCCTGGCTCCAAGATGGAATCTTTGGCACAGCAATGGCTTTGGTGACAGGAGAAGGGACAGGTTGTGATCCCAGGTCCCAGGCAGTTCTTGAATACAGACTATTCCTGTGGCTCAGGGGTGAGCACTTGAGTTCTAGCACCCAACATCTCTAGTCCATGCTCTGTTCCCTATCTTGGGTGGTGTTATGCAAATAAACCAAAGGTATCAGCAGTAAAAAAGAAGAAAATCCTAATCCTACCTTTTTGCGAGAGCATGATGGACCTGGAGAGTACTATGCTAAGTGAAATAAGCCAGTCAGAGAAAGACAAATACCACACGATTTCACTCATATGTGGAATCTAATGAACAACATAAACTAACAAGCAAAATAGAAACAGACTCATAGATACAGAGAATAGACTGACAGCTGTCAGAAGGAAGGGATTTGGGGGGAGCTGGGTGAAAAAGGCGAAGGAATTAAGAAAAAAACACACCTCACAGCCAAGACAACATTATAAGGATTACCAGAAGGAAAGAGGGGTAGGGGAGGTAGGAGAAGGAAAAAAGGGGGGTAATTGGTAATGGAAGGAGACTTGACTTGGGGTGGTGAACACACAATATACAGATGATGTATTATAGAATTGTACACCTGAAACCTATATAATTTTATTAACCAATGTCACCCCAATAAATTAAAATCAATCAATCCATCAAACAAACAAAGGTATCCGGGAAACTCACATCCTATGGCTAAGGGCCTCAGTCAGATCTGTAAAGAGCCCTTCTAGTTCCTACTGTAGCTTCACTTTCCTCCTACCTCCCTCGCAAAAGGATGCCTACCGTACAGAATGGAACCCACCCAACAAGAGTTTGTGTGATGCACATATAAAGTGTGGAATGAATATTTGTGCTCCCCCTAATCCCGAATGTGATGGTGTTTAGGTTAGATGAGGTCATGAGGGTGGAGACCCCATGATGGAACTAGTACTCTTATACAATGAGGAAGACACACAAGATCTCTCTCCCTGTGTGTGCACACACCATGTGAGGACAAGCCAGGGAGAGGGCCCTCTTCGAGTACCTGACCATGCTAGCACCCTCATCTCGGACTACCAGCCTTCAGAACTGTGAGAAATAGATGTTTGTTGTTTAACTGCCCAGTCTATGGCATTCTGCAATAGGAGCCCAAACTATCATCCCAAACTATCACCTGTGCGAGCACAGGTGCCTCACACAGTGCCATTATTATCAAGAATTTAAGCTAAGTACACTACTTTTCAGTGTGAATCCTCTGCTCTAATCAGACTGACAATGAGGTTACTGCCCTGCAACACTTATGTCTATACCAATCCTTGAACCAAATGCCCTCCTCATGATCCTCTTTGGCCATCAGATTCACCCAGCTTGACGTCCATCACCTCTGCACGGGGCTCCCTGACCACTGTGATTACTTTCCTTAGAGGCCACATCACCAGTGTCAGCCATTCCATTCAGTTCTCACTTACCATGTGCTCCTTCTGCCTTCCTGGTTTTTGTGAATGAAAACGCCTGGTCTCCCTAACTGGAATCCAGGCTCTTGCAGGGCAGGCAGCACACTTACTCTCTGGACTCCCTGGAGCACCCTGCAAATAGCAGGAGCTCATGTTTCCCAGCCTTCACAGAGCAGATTCTCAATGGAGCCCAACCATCGCCTCTCTTACCGAGTCGGCTCCCTTTCCTTTTTCTCTCTCTAATCTGTTCTACTTGCCTCCAGATGCCAGCTCTCCTTTGCTCCAACAAGTTCAACAGTCAAGTTGCCTTCCTACTTTGAAAAAGAAAAAAAAAAGGCCAATTCAAAATGAAATTCCCTACTCCTCTCCAGCTTTCTTGGTAATCCAGCCTTTCCAAGCTTTCTCCTGTCCTATATGAAACATTCTCCCACCTCCTCCTGTCCAAGGTTAATTAGTCTCTCTTGAAGGTCTTAACCTTATTCCTCCTTTAGGATCCTACTCCTTCAAATCCGCCCTATTTCCTCTGACTCACTCTTTCCCCAGATATTACACACCGATTCACAACACAGATTTCCCCTTTCAAATACTCTTTCCTTTGCTTCTCAGAGCAGTAGCCTATATTACTAACCCCACTTCCTCACGTCCCACTTCCCTTCCCTCACTGTAATCTGCCTTCTGCCCCAAAGCAAATCACTGTAACCACTTCCTCAAATGCCCCTAATAGCCTCCAAACAGCCAAATCCAAGGTTCCATCCTTGTCTTTTCCCATTTGTGTAACAGATGACTCAAATTGCACCTCCTTTTTGCACTTTCTTCTAGACTCCCAAACTATGGAAACTACATACAGGACCACCACCAGCCCCAAATCAGGTCTCTCCTCCTGCATTCTCTATCAGTCAACACCACTACCTAACCCAGGGGTGGGGAACATCTGGCCCTTGGGCTGTACAATGCCTAAGAATCATTTGGTCTAGCCCTGCCAAGACATTAGGGTGAGTTAATTAAATGTTTAACCATATATAGCAGGCTAATTCTTAAGTTCATAATTTTGTATGGACTGCGAATGATGTTATAAAAATCCAAATGGCCCTTGGCAGAAAAAAGGCTCCCCATCCCTGAAACCAGTCCTCAAAGACAGGCACCTCGCAGTGACCTTCAACTCCTCCCTCTGCCCTGCACTCAACCAATGACTCTTCTATTAACTCTACCTCTAAAATGTCTCCAAATCTCCTTACCTGTCCATGCTCACACCACCACCATACAGAGTGTTACCTTCCTGCATACAGTGTTACCTTCCCAAGAGGTCTGCCAGCCTTCTGGAACTCTACTTCCCAGTGAAAGCCAAATGATCAATCAGAAATACTGATCTGATCATTCATTTGCTCAATAAATAGTCATTGAGTGCTTATTATGGACTGGCACTATTTGAAGTATTGGAATAAGACATCTCTGAGTATATATTTCTATACCATTTGATACAATAAAAAGTACCAAATACTTTTTCTTGCCCAAAAGCATTAACTTGCCCTTGCCAGTTTTGCTCAGTGGATAGAGCATCAGTCTGCGGACTGAAGGGTCCCGGGTCCAATTCCAGCCAAGGGCACATGCCGGGGTTGCAGGCTCAATCCCCAGTAGGGGGCGTGCAGGAGGCAGCCAATCAATGATTCTCTCTCATCATTGATGTTTCTCTCTCTCCCTCTCCCTTCCTCTCCGAAATCAATAAAAATACATTTAGAGAGAGAAAAAGCATTAACTTGGATCTTATCATGAGGAATCAACCACAGAAATGTGAATGTGAAACATTCTATAAGAAAGCTGGCCTGAATTCTTTAAAAAAAAAAATGTTTTGGGTGAAGGTGGCGGGGGAAGGGGGGTTGGGGAGGCTGGAGTTATTTTAGATCAAGAGACTAAAAGAGAGAATTACCAAACACAATGTGTGACCCCTGATTGGATTCTGGAGCTACAAGACCTTTTTGGGACAACTGGGAAAGTTTAAACTAGATATTAAATCATTATGAAATTTCTTAGTGTGATAATGACACTGATATTTGGAGGATGTCCTTCATCTTTAGCGATGCATGCTGAAGTCTCTAGGGGCAAAATGTCATGATGACTGCACTGCTACTTGTTTTCAAAATGATTCAGGGGGCAAAAGTGAGAGAGAGAGAGAGAGAGATTGAGATTAGAAGTGGGAAGAGGAAGGTGTAAAGAATTGGGAAAAAAATTTTTGATAGTGCTATTTTGAAGGCAATAACTGCTAAAGAAAATTCTGACCAAGAGTAATGTATATTCTTTGAGAGAAAAAAAAATCTCTTCCTGAGTATATCTTAAGTTGCTAAAATGGATAGTTGGCCAGCCCACTGGTGTAATAAACACTTTTTTGGTTTCCCTTTCATCTAAAACTTAGTGCAAAGTATTAAAGACCAAAATGATTTGTAATCTAGCAGTTACTAACAGGCAACTCCATTCTGTTTAGAAAATTACACTAAGAACAACACTGAATGCTACAATATGGGTCAACTTTGAAAACATTATGCCAAGTGAAAGAAGCCAGTCACAAAAGACCACATAATATATGATTCCATTTATATGACATGTCCAGAACAGGCAAATCATAGAGACAGAAAGCAGATTAGTGGTTGTCTAGGGCTAGGGAGGTTGGGGGGACATGGGAAGTGACTGCTAATGTGTATGGGTTTCTTTGGGGGGGTAATAAAAATGTGGTGATGACAGTACAACTCTGTGACTACACTAAGAATGACTGAATTGTACATTTGAAATGGGTGGATTGTAAGGTACATGAATGCATCTCAATAAAGCTGTTATAAAAAAAGGAAAGAACAACATAGGAGCAAAATGCCCAAACCCGCCCTGCGCACCCTCAACTCCCGAGAGCTGCTGGCACTCACTTGGAAGCCTTCATGGAATCATCGGCCCAGCCTCCTTGCCGGCGGCGGGGTGGTTTGGGAGGGGGATCCTACAAGGAAAGAGAAGCCAAAATAACAGTCACTCGACATGTTCATTCAAGCAAGCAATGACTGAGGGTAAGGTCACCTAACCCAACACTCAATCTATCAAAACCTTTCAAATAAAAATACAGTAACCTTTCAATTCACTACAAAGATCTGGGTGCTTTCATACCCTTCTGGTGGGTATAAATTGGCAAGATCTGGAGGATAATCTGGCAATGTCTACTGAAAGCCTTAAAAATAAATGCTCATGCTGTTTGAGCTAGCAATTCTAATCCAAGGAATTTATCCCAAAGAAATAATCAGAGAGAAACACAATGTCATTTTTGAAAAGTGAATACATAATTGGAAACAACTGAAATAGACAGCAATAGGAATTAAGTAAATCACAAAATACACACGTGAAAATACTGTGCAATAATAAAAAAACTACGTTAAAAAAGAATACTTAATGATATTAGAAGGTTCATTATACATTAACTTTCAAAAACATGTAAAACAGTAGGCATATGCTTCTGATTTTGTGAAAAGATTGTTAATACCTAATATCTAACGTCAATTAGCTCTAAGTACATGGTTGAAAGGGGACTTAGTGACTGAATTATGGGAAATTTTTATTTTCCTTCTTTGACTATTGGGCATCTTCCAAATTTTTAAATAATCAACTTATACTACTTTTATAAAGTAATAAAATAAATATGTCAGAGGGGCTTATTCTTGCCCAGCATATCTCAACTAAAAATCCCAAAGGACCATCAAGCAATCCACTCAATCACTCAAGTGGGATAAAACAGCAAAGAACAGTTCCTATTTTGAAATAGCCAGCATTTACCTAGATATTTTTTTAATACCTTCTCCACCGCCCCCCCCCCCCCCCCCAGCCCCAGGAACTTCACATAATCATAACTGTTGTTCTCAGTCCAAGGAGACACTTAGGTAAATGGACTAACACAGGGTTGGGAAACATTTTCTATGAAGGGGTAGGGGTAAATATTTTGATTTTGGGGGCCCTCCAGTTTCTGTTGCAACTCTTCTACTATGATACTGCAGGGCAATAAACAACCACAGGTAATAAGTAAGCAAGTAGGTGTAACTGTGTCCCAATAAAACTTTACAAAAATAAGCTGCGGGCCAAATTGGGCAGGAAGGATGTGGTCTCCTAACGCCTGGAGTGAAATGTGTCACTACCCGTCCTTTAAATCTGTTGCTTAAGGGCTAACATAACTTTTTAAGAAAACACTCCCTCAACATGCCAGAATACCTTTCTACTACCCTGACCCAACTGGAACCAATGGAATTCTCTGTCCCAGGAATCTGGAATTGAGGCTCAGAGGTTAGGCTGTTCAGACCGCGCTGAGACTGGAACTACAAGGACCAGCTGGAATCAGAATCACCCAAACCACGCCAGCCAAAGTTGTGTATAAGCAGAGACCAAGAACCTTGTCTTGTTGAGCTCTTACCGTTGGTAAGGCACTGTGTTGGGGACACTTAAATGTTGAGAACTGAACTGAACCGCAGCAAGATGTTTTTACACCAATTTGCCTTTAAACCATCTATGTGCTTTTGCAAATAACACCTATATTTCATTACTCAAGATTAGAACCATTTTGTGATCATGTGAATTCTTGAGTCTAAAGGTCTCAAACTTGTAGCCACATGTTTTGTTTGGCCACACAGTGGCTTTGTTTTAAAATTTAAAAAGTTGGGGCGGAGGAAAGAACCCTTTTAAATTTGGCCTTAGCTGTCACTTTGACTAATGATGGATATCATATAGTTAATAAAATTTCCAAAAGTTTAAAAAACTAAAATGATCGCTTTATCCTTTTTAACCACAAACCCAAGGAAGCCATGGCTATTGGGAGGATGAGTGAAATCCTTCCCACCTAGAGGTAACAATACAAAGACACATTTTCTCTTATTATTTCCACTGCAAAATGGTACCAGAAGCTAAATTAGGACAGCAGCTTCAAAATGTGGGCGAAAGGGGGCGCTATAATAAACTAACAGAAAGTAACCTCACAGGGTGCATTGATTACAAATTCCTACCTGGGCAGGTCATGAAGTGCCAGAAGTAATCCTGTTTTCTGACCACTCAAAGGCTAACCACCCTCTTTTCAACTATCCTGTAACCTGCTTTCTCCCGCCTTCATGTAACCTTCCTTACATTCCCTCCTTAATTCTACATGTATAAAAGAAACTGCATAACTGTTATTCTCTGGAGCATCTGAGATCTTGCTTCCTGGCAATTGTCATCGGTTTGACTCAAATAAATTCTTATAAAAATTCTCTACAGGCCTGGAATTCTTACATTGACAAAAACAAAAAGATCACCACATAACAATCACTCCTCCACATCCAATAGAATTCGACAACTAGTTCCAAAATCAAAGGTTTTGTGTTTGGTTTTCTTTCCACTAATGACCAGACTTCATGATTTGGGATATGTTGCAAAACTGTAAGCTACTTTTCACTGAGATCACCTGAGAGAGGAAGAGTTACAGAGAAATTCTCTGCACAATATGAGGCTGGATTATAGCTGTCCTCCTTGCTCCCCAGTGGGAGTCTTGGCCAACCTCAGGAGAGAGTGCCAAGGCAGGTGGGAGATGGGAGGGCAGACAGAACTTACTGTCTACAAGTTAGGTGTCGGGCATTTAGTGGGAGAAGTCTCTTTCCTGATGGGGAATCCTCATGTTCATGACTGAGTACCCTGAGTCCAAGTATAAAAACTTCTTTTGTAAATACTCTCAGCCCTGAGTCTTGTTATGGCCACATACAAATACCCTGTTAGGATAAGACAGACTTAACTAACCACTATTACCAAGTTATAAAGGCTCTTCCCCAGAGTTCAACTGTGTTCTCTTGCTGGGGAGCTGGGCCTGTCCTATGTGCACCAAGTGAGTTAGAAAAAGCAGGATTCATTCCTGTCCTCAAATATTGCCCCAGTTCAGTGACACTGAAGTGAGGCAGAATTCAGATTTCAAACGACATCAAGGCTGTTTGGAATCAATGTAATTGGACATCGCTTAGTCTGAAACTTAAGAGGCCACAATGGAGGCTGGAGGTAGGTATCAGGGACAGAGGTACTGAGTGTCCTTTCATGGAGAGGCTGCATTCAGGGTCCAGAGGTGAAACTGAGGAGG